GCGTGTTCCTGCCGCAGGGCTTCCCCGACAGCGTCAGCGCGGACTACCTGGCCTACCAGCTGTGGGACTCCGTGCAGGTCCGCCCTGGCGGCCGCGTCGGGCCCGGGGGTGGCGGGGAGCCCCCAGGTCCGAGCCACCTCGGCCGTGTTCGCAGACGGGAGGCGGCGGCCCCGGGCGCCCACAGCCCCTGCAGAGCCGGGGCGAGGGCGAGGACCTGGGCGCGCCTGCCCTCACCCCTCAGCCCACTTCTTTTCTCCTGCAGGCCTTCGCCTCCAGCCTCTCGGGCGCGCTGGCCACCCAGGCAGTCTTGCTGGGCATAGGGGTAGGGGACGCAAAAGCCTCCGTTTCAGCCGCCACGGCCACCTGGCTCGTGAAAGGTGAGATGGGCCCTTGGAGGCTCACCGGTCACTCCCCCCAGCCCCTTCCGCGATCACTGCAAAGTCCTGAGTCCTCCCTCAGGATTCCGAGCTCCAGTTGTCATCGGTGCCAGATAGGTACTGGCCTCCGCAGAGCCTAGAACTGGGCCCTGCATCGCAACCTTATCACCCATAGCCGGCCACCCTTATCCAACCCAGCTGCAACACCCTGTCGCTGATACAAACGGTTCCAATTGAGATCCCAAGGCCCGACGTTACCCACCTCCTCACCACTCACCCACTGCCGGCTGTCTAGCCCATTCCCCCTCAGTCACCTTAAGAGGACAAGGTTGGAACAATTCCTAGGGGTTGACAGGACTGTGGGTATTTATGGGAGTAGGAAACCTCATCTTTCTCCTGTGGAGCAGCTAGGGGTTTTGACCTTGTGAGCCACCTAACACTTAATCCACAACACCACAACCGTAGGGCTCCTCTATTGGAGCGTTGTTGCTGAATAACACACCCAGTGAACTGGAGTAGGGAAAATTGCTTCCCTCCAGGGAAAATGGTAGTAGGTGGTCCTGTGTCGAAAGTCAGAGAGAGGCGGTCCCTGACAAAAATGAAGGCATCGGAGACCAAACCACCCGCTCACCAAAAATACAAACCTCACTGCCAAGTCAATGCCGGCTCACAGCGACCCTATAGGACAGGCTAGAACTGCCCCTGGGAGCTCCCGACACTAACTTTATGGGCGTAGAAAGCCCGTCTCTCTCCCAGGGAGTTGTTCTGGGAATGGCATATTTGGATAGTGATTCAAAAGTGATGCGAGCACATCGTATCTGAACAACGTGTCTTAACTTTCAGCACACTGGTTGCCATTGGGAGGGGACTTCAGGAAGTTCAAGGAAAAACTGGAAATAAAAGATCATGGAATGTTTTCACAAGCGTTTTGAAGCCCAGCGTCATTTTTTGGAGCCCTGGTGGCGTAGTGGTTACCCCTCGGGCTGCTAACCACAAGGTCAGCAGTTTGAAGCCACCAGCCGCTCCACGGGAGAAAGGGGAGGCTTTCAACTCCCATAAGGAGTGACAGTCTCGGAACCCCACAGGGGCAGTTCTCCCGTGCCCTCGAGGGTCGCTGTGGGTCGGAGTCGATGTGCTGGGAGTGAGTTTTTAGGTTGGGGCATTTCTTCAGCTCCAGCAACTTAAGAAGTAAGACCATGTTCAGATTTGAGAGAACACCTATTTATTTGAGGGCTGCATGTCGGTATTAAAAGAAGCCCTATTTGTACATTGCTTCAAAGTGTCATTTTCAGTTACAGGTCTCTTAATGGGACAGGATGGTAGTTGTCATGATGAAAAATAAAGGACACCTGTGGCTGGTGGTTCGATTCTGCCACAGAGTGGGCTGTGTGGTACAGCGGGGGACTGCTCCCCAGGCCTTCCTCGGCTGTATTCTTTATGGGAACCGGTCAGGCCCCTCTCCTGTAGCCTGGCTACTGTATCGACTAGACAGCCTACTGTGGGCCTGGCATTGTGCACACTAGCCTGTAAAATGTATCTTGGCAACATCTAGATGCTATTAGCCCAGGGTCTCCTGGGGCCCAAGCTTTGAATGTAGGCCGACTGGCTCCTGTGTCCTGCGTTTAACCGCCACACTCTATAAACAAAACCCAGCTTTTCCTTGGGGACTAGGTGGGCAGAGCAGACCCTCGGTTTCACGTCCAGCAGTGCACACCCCTTGTGCTCCCACCCCACCCCACCCCCGGCCTCCCTGGGTTCCCCGTTCCCATCCCTCCTCCTCCCGAGCCCGCTGAACTTGGTCCTTGGGGAAATGCTGCCCTTCTGATCTTAAATGGTTGATTATCCCAACACGGGGCTGAGTTCAGTGCTAGACCTGAAGGATGACAGAGGGCCGATCTTGGGGGGGGTGGGGTGCGTGGTGAGGGGTCCTACCAGACTGACCAGTGAGTTCTGCTGGTGTCAGAGATGAAGGAAACTGATATTTGCATGGCCCGCAGGACTAACTGCTTTAGATGGCTTGATTTTCATCATTCATTGTGCACTGGACTGGGAAAGACAAACAGTTGTAGGTGACTAGGACTCAGATATTTCTACATCTAATTGCTCGGCTAGTTGCCATTGAAGCAAAGAAGGGCAGGCAGGATTTAAGTCTCCTAGCCCATTGGCCAAAGAGGACTTGTTATCCAGGGAGACTAATCCCTGGAGAAAGACAGCGTGTTTGATCTAGGAACTGGGTTTGGGGAAGGGCCTCATCTCATTGGGCCTTTAGGACTCCCCCAGAAGTTTGGCAGTAGATGTGACTTCTAGGCACCCTGTTGAGAGGGAAAGGTAGTTTGACTGCAATACTATTTGCACGCACCAGAAAAACCCACACACACCCCCGGGCTTGCAGGTGGTGCCTTCTCAAAGCCGCTGCTCATTGCCCTCTAGTGGTGGGTTTCTAGAACGCTGCTCCTTTGATGGGGTTTTCGGAGGCTTGACAGTCCCCAGTCCTGGGCATAAAGGGGAAGGTAGAGTCAGGTGATGATCCTGTGGCCTGTTTGTGGATACGTTTTTTTCTTATTGAAGGTAAAAGGCCACGGAATAACATTCTGCATTAGCTAATACTACTGATATCTTTTTAACCCTTCTACATAGAAAGGGGAGGTTTTGTGAAACAGGTATCAAAGTAAAGAATGAATGCCCTGAACTCTTTTTGTATCAAATGTTTCAAGCACATTTTCACCCTGTACAGTTTATTTTTTTATGTCAAAAGGTTCATTAGATTGACTAAAGCAAAAATACCCAGGAATATGTATATATATTATGCCTGATCAAGTGGAGGGTAGCGAAAGAGAGAAGACCCTCAAAATGAACGGGCACAGTGGCTGCCACAAACTAACCGTTGTGAGGATGGCACGGGACAGCGCAGTGTCTCGTTCTGTTCTACGTAGGGTGGCCATTGAGTCAGGTGACCTCTTTCTCCCGCAGAGCGGCTGGTGGGCCCGCGCTGCGGGCCTCCAGGCGAGCAGCCCAGCCTCCAGGCTGCGCCACCCCCCCCCCCCCCCCCCCCCCCCCCCCCCCCCACCCCCGGGCTCCTGGGCCAACAGCAAGGGAAGGACTCTGGAGTGTGGACCACTCCCCCTTCACCCGTGAGAGCCATCTCGCCGTCTTCAGAATTGCCACATGGATCCAGGAGCCCTGGTTACACGCCGGGCTGAGCCCTTCTAACCTACCGGCCCCTCCGATGGGAGGAGGGGAAGACTCTCCGCTCCTGTTGAGGTTTCCAGCCTCGGAAACCCCGGCGGGCAGCCCCACCATGTCTCGTAGGGTGGCCGTGAGTCTGAGGACGATCTAATACGAGACCATTAAATAGAACAGTGACGTGTGCAAGATACAAAGACAAGGGCAGGGGGCTGGGGTCTATGTAACGTCACCTCGGGGGCCTGACTTGGAGGACTGAGCAGAAGGCACCAACGGGAAGGGCAGGGCAGGGGGGACAGCCATCGTGTTGTACCCCTGCCTCTTCTGAATGAGGAAAGACAGGCCCATGCCTCTGTATCGTCGGGTCCTTTCTGAAAAGCTAGACATCCAGAGATGGACGTAGATCAGAAGACCCAGTGAGAGAGCTTAAGACTCCCCACGCTCCTCCCTGCTGTTGCTTTCAGCCTCAGGGCACCCAGACCACACAGGCAGTGTGGGCATGGGAGTCAGAGCACGCCACTGTCTCTGAGCTTGTTTCCTCTGTGAAAGGGAGGCACTCGGCAGACTGTAGCAAGGATGCAAGGTGTGGGCATCTCGAATCCCTCCCTCCAGCGTAAGGTGGGGCACAGGGGTCTGGTCAGATTCTGGTGAAGACCTCGAAGGTCAAGAATGGGAGGCATGACGAGTTCCTTTTCCGGTAGAGAAGGGGTATGCTGTGGGACGCTCCTGCCCCTCCTCCCCCGGCCTCGTTTCTCTTCTCCTTGGAACCTGTGCTCAGGGGGCCAGGCCCTCAGACTCAAACAAGTCACAGCCCCCTGAACCCCCCCATGGCAGAGTGGTTGCGCTCTGGGCCACTGCAACCGCCGGCTGCTCCACAGGAGTAAGATGAGGCTCCTGCTCTGTCTGGGACGCGGCAAGGGCTGTGCCGCGCAGTCCTGCACGGTCACTAGGCGTTTCCGTTTGGAATTGATGATTGGGTAGAGAGGGCCTGCTTTGTGAGCCCTTGCCAGTTGTCTGGCTCTAGAGCAGCGGTTCTCAACCTGTGGGTCACGACCCCCTTGGGGGGGGGTGTCAAATGACCCTTTCACAGGGGTCGCCTGATTCCTAACAGTGACAAATGACAGTGATGAAGTAGCAATGAAAATAATTTCATGGTTGGGGGGGTCACCACCACATGAGGAGCTGTGAAAGGGTCACAGCGTGAGGAAGGCGGAGAACCCTGGTCTACAGCCAGACAACTGGCTCTCTCTACCCCTGCTAGCCTCAGGAGCTGCTCCTCCCCGCCTCAGAGATGGCTTAGCTCAGCTTGGCAAACTGCACAAAGAACCAGGTACTAAGCACTGCTGTCTCTCTCCCAGCCGCCGGGCTCTGGGGGGTCACCAGAGCAGCCAGGCGAGGCGTGGCTGTGGGACCATAAAGCTTTATTTCAGAAATGGCGTGGGAGGCCCCACAACCCCGGTTCACCCGCTGCTGGTTTAGATCAGTCTGTTTGCCCTCAACTTGGATGCTGGGGCAGAACTGGCTTGCAGCAGATGTCCCCTGCCCGAGAAGAACCTGGCACCAAGTAGATAACCAGTTAGCACTTGGGTACAAAGGAAGATCCGGCAGATTCCAGAAGAGATGTTCTCTCTGTCTCTCTCAAACACACACAACACACACACACCTCTGTAGCGGGAACTTATTCTCTCAGCGACCATTTCACTGCCCAACCTGAGAGGTAGATATCAGTAGTGACCTCCAAACTTTTCACTTAGGGTTCCCTGCTTTTTGACATCTTTTGGTTCTAGTTGGTTTTGAGCTTTTAAGAAAGTTTGCTATGGCACATACTGTTTTAGTTTAACCTAGTGCCATTCAAACAAATACCAAAAGGGGCCAGCTTAGTGAACACAAATGTACTCTCTCACCGCTGAGGAGGCCGAGGGTCCACATGCAGAAGGCCAGCTAGAGGAGAAGGTCGTCTGTTGGCTCTGGGCGAAGGTCATGGTCATAGCACGTATAGGCTGACTTTCTCGAGATCTCCCTGGGTCTGGGCATCAGTCTTGGCCTGGATCTGAGAGCTTGACCTTGCAGGCACTCCACTCCTGGCCCTTCTTCAGGAGAGCAGCCCCCCCCCCCCTCGGAGCTTCTCTCCCTCTATCTGTGGCCAAGACAAAGTGTCGCGTCCCATGCTCAGCCCCCATTTACTGGTTCACCCGGCAGGTCACATCTGGGTAACCAGTACCTTCCCTGTCAAACCATGGGAATCATGGCCTGGCCACGTGGACACATACCGGGGAGACGTGTATTCCGTGACCCGTGCAGTCTACAAGAGCTTGATCATGCTCGGGTTGGGCTCGGTTGACATAGGCATTTGCCGTTCATTGAGTTCTCCCTGCCGTAATATGCCATTGAGTGCCTGCTCCAGAGCCTGAGCCGCTTCTCACCGATGCACTGTTATGACCTGTCCATGTACTGTTGGGAGCAGCCCTGCAAAGAGCATCTTTAGGTTCTTGTTGACGTTTGATGTGCGAGGGCCCCACTTTTCTTGGGTCCATACCACGGAGCTGGTGGGGCTGAACTCTGCAGAGCCATGGTCTGGGTCTGTCTGTCCACAGCTTGCACACTTGCTCCCGGGGCTTGTGACCCAGTAAGACTCAGATGCTTTTGTCCCACCCCCCCCCCCACCATCCCCCAACTCGTCCTGGACCCTTACCAGTGCCTTCCTCCCTCCCCCAGATTCAACGGGCATGCTGGGCCGGATACTCTTCGCCTGGTGGAAAGGGTGAGTTTGTCTTCCCCGACAACATATTTCAGGCTGCCCCCTCTCAAAAGGTCAGACCTATTTTTGTAAGTCCTTTGGTCACGTCTAGACACACCGAAAAATGCAGTGTTGGCACGCTTCCATTCTGGAGCTTTCTGAAGCACAGGGTGTGTTTTGTGACTGACATATAGGAACACTGTTTTCATGCACAGTGTGCTGTGAGGTCGTCCTCCCCACCCCCACCCCTGCCCAGTCTGCAGCTGAGGGAGCATTTGGCAAAAGCCTCGTCAGAGTTGAGGGATCTTTAGGGAGTACTCAGTCTAGGCAGCGTGCCGAGCTCTCTCTTTAAGAGCACGGATCTGCCTCTCTGGCCATCATGAACAACCCCGAGCCCAGAGCTCTGCACATGCAAACGAGAGAGGAGACCGAGTCTGCCAGCCGCCCACCAACGACCTCACTCTGCAGCCTGCCAGGCGGGTTGGTGGGCCGGTGAGCTGAGTGGCTAGCGGGCTCGGGGAGGTCAGCGGCATCACCTGATGACCGCCTGGAAGAGATTAAGGTGCTTGGTGGCCTGCTTCCTCTCCGAGGCCTCAGGAGCGATGGCGCAGTGGCAGTGGCCATCCTCACGACAGCGCCCGCCCGCCCGCCACGCACCCACCGGTCGGGGTCGAAGCCGCCCACCAGAGGAGGTGGGCACAGGTGGAGAGGCCTTCACTGCACGTGGATCCAGCACACGGGACAGAATGAGCTGTCAAAGCGGCTCAACTTTCTTTTTTTTTTTTTTTTGCCAAAACCATTTTATTGGGAGCTAATACAGATATCATGCCATTCCACAGTTGACTCCTGCAGGATCGTACAATGGCTACCATCATCCGTCTCAAGACATTCTCTTCCTTCTTGAACTCCTTCACGTCAGCTCCCCTAGGAAAACGGAGCTACAACTAAACACCTTGAGGCATGAGCAGCTGCACCTGAGGGCTCAGGGCCATCGTCCTGGGGGTGGGGGTGGGGGGCAGTGCCCCAGGTCCACTGGGGTAACATAGTCCACACAGACAATGCTCTACAACCTGCTTTGGTGAGGAGTGACGGTGGGCTCCTAGAAGTTCATGAGCAGCCATCTCAGGTGCAGCTCCCGGGCTCTCCCTGCCCGGAGGAAAGAAGAGGGAAACCGAAGGGCCGTGGAAGCAGTTTGTTCAGTGCACTTGGACGGGCTGGCCTACACGGCTCTTTCAGTACATTCCTGTGGCTCGGAAGTCAGATGGAAACATTTAAGAGATGATTCGAATCGTGGGGGTTCGTTCATCTGTCAAAAGGTATTTATGGTTCTATAATTCCTTGAATTGTGAGGGACAGGTTTAGCTCCTCCACCTCAAAAGCATGTGTCCCCTAGACTAGGGCCATGCGGACCTCTCGCTCCATGACCCCGAGCCCAGCGTCCCCTTCCAAGTGCCCGGGAAGGCTCACGTTAGAAGGGCCTGGAGAGAGGGCACGGGGAGTGGGGGCCACTGCAACGGGAACGAGAAAGAAGAAAAGGTTCCAAAGTAGACGTTAGCAGTGATCGCAAGACCCTTCTTGATGGAGCTGAACTATCGATGCGATTGAAAAACAAACAAAGTGTTGGATAGAGGAGGAGAAGCGTTTGGAACAAAACTCAAAATCCTTAAAAAAGACCAGGCGTCCCGGTCAGATAGAGACCCGTGGAACCCCTAGGAGGAGTCTGGCCGTTGGTCACCCTTCAAGTCTGGACATGAACTTGCCCCCACGATTCTATTTTCAACCCATCAGTATACAAAGGGGAGATGTGCACCTGTTAAAAATCAGCCATTTGGACTCACAAGGGCGGTGAGTACTTCCCGCGGACGGACGGGTCGGAGGAGGAAGAAGAATGGAAACGTGCAGGAAGGGAGCCCTGCAGGCATTGCCATCCAAGCGACGAGGCAGAGTGTGCATGAACTGCGGGCGTGGAACTGGTGACCAGCTCTGTACACCCCCACCCATGAAAACAGTGCCCTGTAGAAGGCTTTAAAACGTCTGTGGTAGCGAAGAGGCAGGGCGATCCTCTGCTGCGTCAGTGTCAGTGCCTCTAGACAGACTGACTGACGGCGAGGGTGGCGAGACTTGGTCTCACGTGCTCTGGACACGGGAGAGATGGATCCCTGGGCAGGGACATCAGGTTTGGTCAAGTAGAGGGGCAGCAGGCACGAGGAGGGCCCTGGGTAAGATGGATTGACTGACCCCGTGGCTGCAGCGACGGGCTCAGACATCAGGACGATGGTGAGGGTGCCGCAGCATGGGAGAAGGCAGGGGGACAGGCACAGCCCCTCAGACGGGGGCAGACAGTCAAGAGGCAGCTTTCTCTGGCCTGGCAGAGCCCAGTGAGGGAGCAGCACTGGGTGCATAGGGCCTCCCAGTGATGGTGGCAGCATTGACGAGCTGTGGTGGCTGATACATGAGGTCTGCCCCTCAGGCCTCACCATGACCTAGGACTGTGCCCAACTGCCACACAGGATGTTCTGTCCCAACGGCACTCTCCTTCTCTCCCCACAGGAGCCAGCTGGATCGGAACGCCAAGCAGTGGAGGTGCGGCGGGGCTGCGGCAGAGGGGAAGCGGGCCCTCCCCCTTTAGAAAGGTCTCCAGCCCCTCACCTCTGTCCCCTCCCCTCAGGCTTTTCGCTGACATCCTTAACGATGTGGCCATGTTCCTTGAGATCATGGCCCCCATGTACCCTTTCTGCTTCACCATGATCATCTGCACCAGCAACCTGGCCAAGGTAACCACTTCTGGGTCACCCCCATGCACACGGTACCTGCCTTCGGTGCTTCTGTCTGTGTGTGGGGGG